GAGGCGATTGTACGTAGCCTACTTCCCAGAATGAGCCAGTATTTCAAGCACAAAAAAAATAAGAGTTTACAAAATTAAAACTGGGAAGACTGACTGACCACGCTTATGTTAATGCAGGGTCCTCTACTTGAAACTTCCGGGCAGTTCTCTCCCCGTTTTCATATCTTTTAAGACCTTTGATTGACGCAAAAAAGACTTGTTACTTTGGCCTGTGGTGATTATTATTTATTTCAGCTTATGAAATTATTAATACAATTGCCTATGGACATGTTGTTTTTCTTCATTCTCCATAAAGCAAACTTGTTTTCCTTCATCCTTTTTAAAGCTTTTTGCTTTTTTCAAATTTGCCTGTTAAGCTAAATTTACATATATGAGGATATTGATTTTTTTGGTAATGAAATTTTGCTTTTGCAAACCCCATTTGGCCAATGAAAATTTACAATAAAATCAATGTCAGCTTGCTAACTATATACTTAGAATTTGCCACAGTTTGTTCATAAGCTGATGATATTAAACTGTTGTTTATGAGAAAATAATTTGATCGGGTAGATGGGTAGATTTCTACTTTTGGAAGGTCAGTTTGCATATTGTCTCCCTTCTGAATTGTAAAAAGATGACATAGTAAATACTAATGAGGGGAATAGGAAATTTTCCAGAGATGAAAATCAGATTCACAGGAGATAGCAACTTAAGTCCTTATTTCTGGTCTGGAATCAAAATATGTCTTTTGCTGTCTATGCCAAATAATTAGATGCATCAGCATTGTCTTAGGCTATTAAAATGGGATAAAAATATAGGCATATCTAAATATGAGAATTACTGTTGGCTTTTAGGAAATTGCTCTCAAACTTTGTACATGTAATTTGACTTAAACCAGGTAATCTTTTCCTGAGTGTCACCAGAGGCCTATAGGTAATATTGGCTGTCACTACTGTCATTTAGAACAAGGGCATGTAAGAAGTCACTAGGAAAAGAAATAGAAAGGGAGAAGAAAGGGGGGGTAAGCAATATTTAATTTGCTTTTTAAGAAGGTGGTAATAATAATAATAATAATAATAATAATAATAATAATAATAATAATGTATTAATAACTGAGCACTCAGTGTGCCTGTTCGGAGCACTTTGTCCAGGCGTTATTTGGTTTGATCCTCCTACCAACTCTGAGGTGTCGGTACTGCTATCCCTCTCATTTACCGATGGCAAACCTCGTCTCTGTGAGGTTAACTCGTCAGCTCAGAGTCACCCAGCTAGTGGGTCCAGTGTTCCAGGGCAGGCAGTCTGACTCCAGAGTGCACTGCTCTTGTGCCTGAGAGACAGCCGGGCCTCTCAGATGCTGATGAGAGAGTAACACCTAACTTGGCATCAAGACAATCAAGGATTTGGGCCAGAAACTTTTGATTGTGTCCTGTAACGTCAGTGATCATCAAACTCCCAAGAATACATTACCCAGAATGCCATTCCCTCCCCCTTTTCAGTGAAAATTCAACGATTTAGGCACCCTGGATGTGTTTCTCTGTTGACTGGTCGTAGTATTTTCTCCCAGCAGAATGATGCGTTTGGAAAGTACCAATATCGTTGTTCTGAAGTGAAGCAAAGGGATTAGTTGATTTTTTTTCTTTGTTGTGGGGGGGCGGATAACTGACCTACAACACCGTCCGTATTTCCATACGCTACAAAATCACCGCAATAAGTCTGGTTGGCATCTGTCGCCATACAAAGGGGATTCGGGAATTTTTAATGATTAGTTGTTGGTCAGGTGTTTCCATCTCTGAGCTTAGCAAGGAGCTGCAAGGAGAGAGCGTGTTATTTCAGTGCTGGGTCAAGGCCACGACTTCTCTGAACTTCCTGGTGCTGGAGGCCATCATTTGCTGCATACCTATTATGTGTCAGATCCACTCCTGACTGTTTTATCCTCCTGGTACCTGAGGCGGGGAGTGAATGGTGGCCCTTTTATGGGTGAGGAGGCTCTCAGGGCAATTGAAATGCCTCTCAAAGGCCACACTGCCAGTTAGTGTCAGAGCCCTCTTTGGCTCCTGGGTTCTCATATCTCTGGAGAAATACTGAGATCCTGGAGTAGACCTTGTCCTACTTGTATTTCTGTATCATTTAGCACATGTAGCTGCTCAATAAATAATTATCTGAGGAATGAATCATGTCTGATACCTTTAATCTTAAAAATGTCAGTTTGGTTGAATTGGGATGATTTAAAACTGCAATTACTTTTACAGGAATACTGTATTAAATTTCTATTACTGTCAAATCTTGTTTATTACAATTTATTCCCCTCCTTTATAGGAGTGAGTAGGAAGGCCCTGGGGAGGGGGGTTTCTGCTGCCTCAGTGTATCCCTTACAGCGTGGACCTGGGAGGGTAGAATGTCACATAACCACAGTGACTTCAGCTGCCTCTGTGTGCTGGGGCTGCAGAAGGTCTGGCACTTTGACTTGCTTAGGCAGTTTTTATATACATACATATACACATACACACACTGCTGTTCTGCTTACATATACTAATTTTGTTTTTCTGTATTTTTCAGGCTGTTTTGACAGAATACAAATTAAAAGCCATTGAATATGTGCATGGATATTTCTCTAGTGAACAGGTACTCCTTTATTTGTTTAAGCAAAAGTCTTTTTTTTTTTTAACACCAATATTCTGATTAATGTCTGCCTGGTCAGGTTCAGAACTGCTTTAACTTTGTTGCTGTGTTTATTGAAGAACTTCAGAAGCTTTCGGTTTTAGCAGAAAACTTGACAGAATTTATAGGGGGGATATTTTATGGACATACCCACTTTCACCACAATATCATATGCTAACATGATTTTTTTTAAATGCAGTGTCTACAAAAAGCAGTTCAAAATGTTTATCCTTCTGGGCACAGTATCATACGTTTGTAAACTTCTAATGGTCAACATACGTAAATTTGAACAGTATTTATAAGTCAGTTATTGCAAAATTCACTGCATTTTATAAAACTTGAACAAATGGTGATGTATGTTCTTATATGAAGCCACTACATAAAACTTTTAGCAATAAGAAAAAAATAAAGTATCTACTAAGTAGTATCTATAACTGCCAAAAGGCTAATTTAATTTTAAGCATGGTGGTATAGTGGAAACTTTCACCTAGCTTTGGGGGGAGTGTAGTGATTTAAAAAAATAGGTTTGCATGTATATGTACACACACATATGCTGAGAAAGCTGCATTTCCAAGAGATACTTGGAAAACACTTGACAAAGAAATAGAACAGAAACAGAAATGTACATCTGGAGAACAGTTCTGGGAAAGGGTGGGAACGCACACAGGGGAGACAGTGGGTGAATCTA